TGATAATAGCAATAATTCCACGCATATGAAAACCTTAAAATTAAATGTCCCAACACGCTGGTATAGTATATTAATTATGCTAGAAAGCATATCTGTATTAAATAAGAATTTAATTAATAATATTTTGAAAAGAATTGGGAAGCACTTTCTCAAATTATCAAATTATGAATCTGATCTAGTAGAAAAACTATTAGCATTTCTTTCAAAATTTAAAGAAACTGTCGAATTTCTTTCAGTACAAAAGGGTCTACTTTAAATTTGGCGTTACTTTTTAGAAGTGAAATTGAAACACATTTAATAGTAAGTGATAGTGATAGTTAATCACTTAATGAAAATATGCTAAAAAAACATGCGTTGCCCTTTACGGTTTGTAATCTGCAAGTAATATTATATAAGTATATTCTTTTATTTTTTATTTAAAATTATCTAGGTATTGGCTTCTCTTTTAGATCCAAGATTTTAAAAATTGACAATTGTGTCAAAGTATTTAATAGAGCAATATTGCTCAGCTTCAGAATTTATAATAAAACATCTTAAACTTATAGAGAATGATGATAATCAAGTAGTAAATATAGCTCAAGTTAGGTGACTTAGAACAAGAATGCCACAGTTTTCTTGGAAAACGACATTCATAAGATATGGACGTTCTAAATTTTTGGAGAGAAGAGAAGAGTGAACTTCCCAATCTTTCAGGCTCGCCAAAAAAATTATTTGCATTCCGGCGACTAGCACACCTAGTGAAAGAGTTTTCTCTACGGCTGGATTGTTAAATTTAAGGATATCATCATTATGTCCCAAAAATTTTAATAAAATAATTTTTATACATGATAATTATAAAATTACGAAATCGATTATGGATATAATAAGTTTTCTATTAAATGAATATTAAAAAATATGCCGAGATATATGTAGAATAGTGTATATTTATTTGTTTTTTTTTATTAAATTAATAAGCAATTAAAAAAATTTATCATATAAAAATTTATATATGCGCCGATAAAACGGCGCGCCGCCGGCCATCGATGAGATTTTTTAAAAATTCCGCCGGCCGCCGATATTTCGTCGGCGCACAGGTCTAAATATAACCAACATTCTTGTTCTTAATTAATTGAAATCAAATAAAATCCAGGTCGGTGAATCAGATAAAAGGATGGATGCTTGGGTGAAACAGAATAATTCATCTGGCCAAAATAAGTTGAGAAGGCTGCAAAAAATAGGTGAGATAAGGTGATGGACACGTGAAAAAACCATTAGATGGATATATGGTAAAGAGTGCTTGCTCCCAATAAGGATAAATGCACTTCATTTTATACATAGTTATATATATCATTGAATTTATAATAGATAATAAATCATTTGAGACAATGATAATTATGTAAATTTAAGATTCTAGGTAAAGTTATAATATATTTGGAAAATTTTGAAATAATGGGGCTACTGTCATATCTTCAAACTAAAAAATTAGGTACTTTATCAGCATGGAAAATAATAGAAGATACTAAGTCATCTGTATCATTGATTCAAAATAAAGAAATGAAATGGCTTCTAATTTAAATGAAACACTTTCATATTTAAAGCTCCCGGAGAGTATCAGGGTACTGCCAAAAAATTGAATAGGGCAAGTGAAGAGAATATATTGTGATAAATGCCAAGATGAACCTCCCCAAATATCGATTGCTTTATAGGTTCGAAGTATTTCGTCCTATAACTGATCAAATTATAAACAGCTTGTCGGAACGGCTTTTTGCGAATTGAGAGCTTATTTTCAATGTGCAATATTTGCATCCAAGGCATTTTGATGAAATAAATAGTAAAGGTATTTCTGAAAAGACCTTGGAAAATCTGGCACAGTTGGCATATATATTGAGTGTTAAATTACGTAACGAATTATGTTCATTTGCCAGTGTATTCAAAGATTTGGTAGAAGATTTAAATGAAACGGACGATGATATCGTATGTACAAGTGAGGAGTCAAATGAAGAAGATGGAATATTACAATATGATAATAACTCAGAGTGTGATAATAAATGTAACAAGTGTTTAATATGCGTATATGAAATTCTTAAAAGATACAATATGCACACAAGTACATTCACTAATTTTTGGTATATGAATACATTTTAACTTTGTCATTTACGCAGGTTAATTGCGAGAAAGCATTTAGTAAAATTAAAAATTATAAAAATAGTGAAAGCTAATATTGACCAATAAAAATTATAAGAGTTTTTAATGATGTCAGTTGAACGAGAACTATTAGCGCAGATTTAACTAGAAGATATTCTTGTATATTTGCGCAAAGGTTCAAAGTTAATGAGAGATTTATTAATGTAAAAATTATATATTTTCTTTATCCTTTTATTTGAATCTTATTAATATCTATTTACAATATGATCAGTGCCTGATTTTATAAGTGCAGCATTTTTATTCTTAATAATATTGTGTAACTGCAATAATTTTATATGTGTAATTATTGATTTGATATATTAAGTATGTATTTTTTTCTATTTAACATGTGATGTATGATTTGATTTTATAGTGCAATATCGTTGTAAATCAATATAAAATATATAGTTGCAATGAATATCATTTTATATAGGTAATGAATATGATTCTAGATGTGCATTTTTTAAAAATAAAATATATGATTATCGTATATATTTCTTTATGTAAATCGTTTGACCTTATTTTCAAAAATAAGATGTAATAAAAATCATGTAAATCGAAAAAGCCATTTAAGGGAACCAGGTCGAAGACCGGGCAAAAGCGGGACGAAGCCCCGCAAAATGGAGATATAGGGGCGAAGCCCCCATATAAATGAGGCCTCTATAAAAAAATGCCCACGAGGCCTTAGCGTCACCAGTCCGCCCCTGGTAAATAGTGAATTAAGAATAAAATAGAAAAATAATGAAGACAAAATTTAGTGAAGATTATTTTAAAGAGACCATGATTGAAATTGATGGGTTAAAATAAATGGATAAGTAATTAAGATAGGTAAAAACTGAATAGATAAAATGACAGGATTTGTGTGGAATAGGAAGTGGATATGACTTGATTACTATGTGGGATAATATAAGGAAGAAGACACAGCTCTGAGACAAGGGCGTTGAGATGGATTTTAGGTATTAATTTATAAGAAACAAATGTATAATAATAAACAAGCGATGGGAGAAGTGAATATATGGTTTCAATCTGAAGTGTTAATATTCCACTCAAAATCTTTGGGGCAGTTATATTGGAAAATTTTCTCCAATTCTGAGGGTTGTGGAAATTTTGTGAACTTTGTGAAATTTCCAAAATTGAATAAAAATATAAATAAATTTACTTTTTTAAAAATTAGTTCAAATTTGGCTCCAATAAATTTTTAAAATGTGATTCGTGAATAAGTATTTTAAAATATGAATTAGGTATTATATTTAAAATATAAATTGTAATAAATGAAAATTGACTGAATTTGATAAATCTGCAAATCGTTTGAAAGGCTAGCAAATTGAGTGTAGGGAGCAAGCCTTCATGCGCCACCCTGAGTTACGGCAATAGTGGAGCAATATAAAAATATGTAACATATACTAGTTCATATGCACGAAAAGAAAGTGTTGGGACTTCCGTCACTTTGGAAATTTGCCTATTCTCTTAATCATAAGCGAATAAAAATTCTCACCCCTTCATCTCCCCAAAATGTTTACAGCATATGTCACTATAAACAATCATTTGATGGAAAATAAATAAAAGTTAATAACTTTTAAAAGTAATGATTTTTAGAAAAAAAAGTGACACTCCAAATACCTATAATTAGCGGACATAAACATCTATAATAAAATTTTTGGGGATAACAGTGCTTCCTTTATATACTAGGTAAATCTTATTTTTTTTATCAGCATCTTCATGAATATGGAAAGGAGGGGTAAAGAAAATATACTACCTCCATATATTTTACAGAGAATAGGTTTCTAAGAGGGAGGAAGTTAAATTATTTTGGGAGGAAGGGGGTAGGGGTAAATTTTGGACTTTCAAATTTCTCTTATACACTTTTCAAATGATGTAAGATTCTATAACTTTATGATATTTTAGAACTATTTAAATATATCATTATCCAAATATTGAGATCACTTAAAAATATTAGATAAGTTGAATTACAAATTAATATCAAAATTTTTCGTATATGTAATTATTATGACCGGCAAAAAAATAAAAATCAAAATAATTCCTATTCTATTTTAATTACAGAGATATTGATAGAAAACACGTATACACATTAAATAAGCAATAATCTATCCTCCTATATATATTTTTTTTGAAAAAAACACAAAATTTAAGGAAAGTTAAAATAAAATAAATGTTAATAAATTAGGATTTATGTTTGCTACATGTTTAGCATGTAATATTTTTCATTTGTCAAATAACCCTTATGGTACTAGTTAAATTTTTTGAATCATCTATATTCTATTATTGCTTATAAGGACGGCTGCTTTATTAAAACCCAATTTTTCCAAAAAAAAGACATAATTCTTTATACTTATTCTATTCTAACTTCAATTAATTAAATAGAGTATTATACATAATATCAAATATTTTTTATTTCATTTCCTCAAGAAAAAGTTATTATTTAATAAAATGAATACTTTGTGTAATAAATCGTAACACAATGCAATAACTTTATAGGTCTAACTCTTGGTTAATATAGAATTTAACTCATATTTTTTATTATGATTAAATGTAAAATTTTACAAGATAATTAAAAAGTTACTTTATACAAATTATAAAAAAGGCGATTATTTTCTCGTTAATAAAATTTAATAATATATATAATATATATAATATTTTAATATTATTATTATATTTATAATTTATAATATATATTTTATAATTATTTTTAAAAAATTAAGATATTATAATTTAACATTGAAAAATAATAATTTATTTATATATATTTTATTTTAAATATTATTTATCAAATATATTTTAAAATATATTTAAAAAAATATATAATAAAGATATTATTCAATTGGATCAGTCTTTTAAAAGTGAATAAATTCTAATCAGATCTCATAAAATCTTAAAGAATGGACAATCAACAATATCGAGAAAAAGGTAAAAAAAATATTTTTTTTAAAATTATTCAATATATTAATATATTTTTCTGGACCTTAATAATCACCCTTTTTTTTTAAAAAAAAACCCTCGGTTGAGTTAAGTAAACTTGATCCATTTTTGGGTTGCACTCGGCAATGACACATATTTTTGTCGAGTTAATATTAGTAATAATTTGTGGCTTCCTTAAATCTTTGCATAATTAAATCTGTGAGCAAGGATATAATTTGTTTTTATATAATGCAGCAATCTATAATATTAATCTATTTCTAAAAAATGAGGGTACTGAGGAGGAAGATAAAAATCCATTTTTTATAAAATAGACCTGGCTGATTATTTTAAATTGTTTCAAATTTGATTAGTTATAATGTTGATCAAAAATTTTAATCAGTTTTAAAATTGTGAGCCCCTTCATAACTAATATTAATACTCTACTAATGAAGACTGGATTTACTTATAATACTGATATTCTATTTAGTTAAATGCAGACACAAAACATATAAATTTTACGATTGTCAAATTTTAAATAGATATCATAGGTACAATGGCATATAGGGGGGGGGATCCCTCCCCCATGAAAAATATGTTTGGGTAAAGTTTTGTGTTTTTATAATACTTTTATATTGATATGTAGACGGCATTTTTCCTTTAAATTGATAAAACCCTTTCTTTAATTTTCTATTTCTATAGAATCATATCCAAAATTTCTTTTTCTATTTATAAAGTGCCTCAAAAAAATCCTAAAAATCTACGAATAAATAGTATTATATAGGCAGATTTATTTTTTAAATAAAATTTTCCCATTTAAAAAAAAATGTTATACTTATAATAAAATTGAAAAACGTGATACTTTTCAAAGATGCGTAATTCGTATGAGATCGTTTGATTTTTTTTTTATTTCCAAGTGTAAAAGCGCATGTATCGTTTTACTTAATAATTGCTAAACCTTAGCGCTTGAGGGTAATAAATATTTATTGTAATCGTTTTCAATTTCATCATAACCAATTCATCTTATATTGATATAACATTTTCAACGATGTTACAAGTCTATTTGACTACTCTTATGCTACCGTTACTATATTATAAAAGTATTAAAGTTATAGCCAGAGAAATCATGTCTGATATTCTAAAATACATTAAAATGGGGTATTTATAAATGTAGGAAAATCGTCTGTTAAAAACGTCCATCAAACTAAATCTTAGCTTAATAAAGTGTTTTTTTTAAAAAAACCTTTTGGGAATTAATAAATTCCGCTTCTTTCTTCTTTATTTTTCGTCTCTCAGCACCTGAAACAAATTTGTTTTCTCTTCCCATTTTTCAAACTATTTATAGCCTATGAAATAAAAGGTTACATAGTAGATCTAAAACAAGTTTATTCTAATCATAGTATTCAAAGAGTGCCTCATTAGCGATTTCAATAACTATATTTTAAAATTTAATAAAATATAATTCTGTCTAATTTATAAATCTATTATATTTTTAAAAAATCACTAAATATTTAAACAATTTATGAAAAGTTTCGATTTTGGCATTTAAGAAACTAATGCAATTTTATCATTATAGGTCTTGTAAAAAATGAAATATTTCGACTAGATCTATTTGGGTTTCTATTTACTATTTTATTAGTTAAAGTTAATTTATTTAATTTTAAATAAATTTCATTTTTTTCTCTTAAATCAAACAACAAACAAAATTTGCTTTGTCTTGAATTTTGATTCCAGTTAGAAATTTCTTATTTAATAACTTTTTTACCGTCTACCAAACGGATTGAAATATTAAACTAAAATACAAATTGGCCTAAGCGTTAGCATTAGTAATTTTAAAATTTTCAAAAACAGGCTGCACCTTAATATGAAATTTAAATTTATATCAAATTTTTGAAAATGTAACTCATTTCAAAAATACTGAGATTTTGTCTATCTTCTATGTCTATTAATTAAATAACCTGGAAATAATAAATATATCTATAAAGATGGTAAAATAATAAATTAAAAATATTTTCAATCTGTGAATAAGAAACCTTAATGGTTTCTGAATCGCGATTTAAATTCCAAAGGTTCCTATATAGATTTTATTTCACTTATAACTGGTTTTTTCATATTGACTGGAAAAAGTGATTGATGAATTAGTATAAGTGCTAATCAGACATTATATTTGACATACTTATATATTCAGTGTTACTATAATTTAAGTTTTAGCATAATAACTTGGAAATTTTTTCTTTATTTGCCAATAATGCGTTTTCTTTAAATTATCTATTAACAGGTTTGTAGCACTAAAATGTTCGAAATCACTAATTATTAATATAAATTTTGAAATCAATGCTACCAGAAGTTTGGCTGACTTAACGCTGAAAGTGTTATATCATAGTTTTTATTTAGCTTATAATATGGTTATTTTTTGGGGACCAAACAGATTAAAACAATAAAATGTAAAACACTACTTAATTTGATATAAATTTCAGAATTAGTTTTTCCAACTTGGCTCACTTTAAGCATAAAACGTCATGTCATAGTTTCAATATTGTTTATAACTCAGTTTCTTTTTGAGGTTAGCAAAACTGAATGAGGAATTAATAGTCAGGCAATAAAATTTTAGCGCAAACCAGATATTTAGTTCATCTATATTTTCTGGTATGATGCCAATTTCGGTAATTCTTTCTTACTTTACTAGTATCTTTTTTTTTTCTACCACAGGATTAAAATAATATACAATGTCCCGAGCAATATAAACCAGAATAAGTTCTTTTAGTTTCGTATAAAGTTGGCCAAATTTTGTTGCTAATAAACTTTTTCCTTTATATTTGATACTATACTGATTTAAGCACTCATAGGCACTGATAAAGCACAAAATATTGGCAGATATTAGAATATTTGCTTCCAACTCTTTACCTAAGGATATCAAGATATTTCATATTTTAAAAAAGCAAAATAAAGAGAACTACAGGAAAATAAAAAATACTTAAGTGGGATTAGATAATCAGATCGTGATTACATACCATGTGTTAGCTTAGCCACAAAGGTCAAACTTCATTATTCATAGCAAATTATGACCTATTTTGCATAATAGGAGGTACTTTTTTTGTATTTATATAAAAGCATTTGAAGTTTTTTATTATTAGTAATTAGTATGATCTGCCACCTAGTGATGCTTAAATTCATCATCGATATTTGACATAAATTCAAATTGATAAAATTTTAAAGGTCTTATTAACATTCGGACGTAATAAATTTTAAGAGAATATTGATCCAAAAATAATAATTACTAGAAACGTTCTCCTAATCTCTAAAAAAATTGTTTACTATATATTACATAACCTACATACTATATTCAAAAATATTTGATAAATTGCCAATTTGTTAATCAAATGTTATTATGTTGCTTGTTTGTATAAAGAGTAAAGACCTGCAAAGGTACCATTTGTACGGCCCGGCCCAGATTAAAAAATTTTCGGCCCGGCCTGGATTTTTTTTCAAAAATTTCTTACGGCCCGGGTTTAAAAATTTTAGGCCCGGCCCGGATATTTAAAAAAAAACTTTTTGAGGCCCGGCCCGGCCTGGATTTTTTTAAAAAAAATTTTTTTTAGGCCCGGCTCGGAATTTTTTAAAATTATATTCGACCTGGTATATACAAAAAGTTGATTATTTCGTATTTTATCATATTTTTCGGCGAGTATTATCATTTAATAAGCAAGTATATTAGCTAATGTTGTTAAACGGCTCGTTTTGAGCCGATTTTTTAAAACGGCTATATTTTCGCCAGAAAAATATTGACTAAGCCTCGAAATTTCGATACTATATGTCTAGACCTTTGCTCCTTCTATGAGCAAAATTTTCAGTCTTGCATAATATTTTTCTGGATAAAAAACGGAGTTAGCCATTTTAAAAATCGGCTCAAAACGAGCCGTTTAACAACACTATTTATTTTATTTTATTCTAAACAAATATTTAGTATATTACAAATTGATACTATAAAAAATTTGTGTAAATAATATTTTGAGATTATACTATGTATTTATAAAAAAAATAAAAATGATATTTTAATTAATAAAAAATATAACATATATTATATAATAATGTATTTAATCCTTTGCGTATTTATTCCATGGCAGGAAAACTATAATTTTATTATGTAATAGATACTATGAGTGTTAGCTAGTGCTAACTTTCATCAAACATTTTATTAATCATAACTATATATAATCATTATAACCATATCTAATTGACGAATATAATAATTCATGCTGTATAAATTTTTTAAAAAAATACGGCCCAGGTATATTTTAAAAATTTAAAATACGACCCGGCCCTGGTACCCAGACCGGGCCGGGCTTATAGCCGGTCCTGCAGGTCTCTGATAAACAGTCAGCCTCATATTGTAATTTTAAATATTTTAAACCCCGATTTTTTTATTTTGTATAATCCTAAACTTAAATTTTTTTTAAGTCTTATATATAAATTTTTTCTTGACATAATTTTGAAAAATAAATTTATGTACATGCTTATCAGCGATCCTTAGGCTCAACCCGGAACCAAATCTAACCCATATACCTGGCTCTGAGTGGTCCGTATAATAATATGTTTTTAAAGACCCTTTTAATCAAGGCTTACCCAGTTTGAAAATGGGAAAAAAATATAAATTTTGGGGAGAAGGTAAAATTTGATTTCTGTAGGTCTCAGATATTTATAAAATAAATATAAAAATGTCTAAAAAAATTTTTATTGGCATTATTATTTTCTTAATAGTTTGAATTGTGAAACGTTTCGTGATTAATATTTCCTTAGTTTTAGTAAAGACCTGGGTAATACCGAGTCCAAGAGATAACGTCAAATAAATTAAAAGTATACTTTATTATCTTTAATAAAAATATAATAGCATATTATTCATCTTCATTAATTCCATAATAAGATTAAATTTAAAATATAGTTGATACTTTTTACAATTTCACTTTTTTTACTTTTTTTTGATGTAATTCGATCAAGAGAAGATTGAACAGGAA